CCAGTTTCCACCTTGCCGTACAAGGCTGGAATACCATACTATGCCATACCAGTTTCCACCTTGCCGCACAAGGCTGGAATACCATACTATGCCATACCAGTTTCCACCTTACCGTACAAGGCTGGAATACCATACCATACCATACCAGTTTCCACCTTGCCGCACAAGGCTGGAATACCTTACCATACCATACCATACCAGTTTCCACCTTGCCGTACAAGGCTGGAATACCATACTATGCCATACCAGTTTCCACCTTACCGTACAAGGCTGGAATACCATACCATACCTGTTCCACCTTGCCGCACAAGGCTGGAATACCATACCATACCATACCATACCAGTTTCCACCTTGCCGTACAAGGCTGGAATACCATACCATACCATACCATACAATACCAGTTTCCACCTTGCCGTACAAGGCTGGAATACTATACAATACCATACCATACCAGTTTCCACCTTGCCGTACAAGGCTGGAATACCATACCATGCCATACCATACCATACTATGCCATACCATACCAGTTTCCACCTTGCCGTACAAGGCTGGAATACCATACCATACCATACCATACCAGTTTCCACCTTGCCGTACAAGGCTGGAATACCATACTATGCCATACCAGTTTCCACCTTGCCGTACAAGGCTGGAATACCATACAATGCTATACCATACCATACTATGCCATACCATACCAGTTTCCACCTTGCCGTACAAGGCTGGAATACCATACCATACCATACCATACCATACCAGTTTCCACCTTGCCGTAAAAGGCTGGAATACCATACTATGCCATACCAGTTTCCACCTTGCCGTACAAGGCTGGAATACCATACCATACAATACCATACCAGTTTCCACCTTGCCGCACAAGGCTGGAATACCATACAATGCCATACCTTACCATACTATGCCATACCATACCAGTTTCCACCTTGCCGTACAAGGCTGGAATACCATACCATACCATACCATACCAGTTTCCACCTTGCCGTACAAGGCTGGAATACCATACCATACCATACCATACCAGTTTCCACCTTGCCGCACAAGGCTGGAATACCATACCATACCATACCAGTTTCCACCTTGCCGTACAAGGCTGGAATACCATACCATACCATACCATACCATACCATACCATACCAGTTTCCACCTTGCCGTACAAGGCTGGAATACCATACCATACCATACCATACCAGTTTCCACCTTGCCGTACAAGGCTGGAATACCATACCATACCAGTTTCCACCTTGCCGTACAAGGCTGGAATACCTTACCATACCATACCATACCATACCATACTATGCCATACCATACCATACCAGTTTCCACCTTGCCGTACAAGGCTGGAATACCATACCATACCAGTTTCCACCTTGCCGCACAAGGCTGGAATACCTTACCATACCATACCATACCATACTATGCCATACCATACCATACCAGTTTCCACCTTGCCGTACAAGGCTGGAATACCATACCATACCAGTTTCCACCTTGCCGCACAAGGCTGGAATACCTTACCATACCATACCATACCATATGGTATGCCATACCATACCATACCAGTTTCCACCTTGCCGTACAAGGCTGGAATACCATACCATACCATACCAGTTTCCACCTTGCCGTACAAGGCTGGAATACCATACCATACCAGTTTCCACCTTGCCGTACAAGGCTGGAATACCATACCATACCAGTTTCCACCTTGCCGTACAAGGCTGGAATACCATACCATACCATACCATACCATACTATGCCATACCATACCATACCAGTTTCCACCTTGCCGTACAAGGCTGGAATACCATACCATACCATACCATACCATACTATGCCATACCATACCATACCAGTTTCCACCTTGCCGTACAAGGCTGGAATACTATACCATACCATACCATACCATACCATACTATGCCATACCATACCATACCAGTTTCCACCTTGCCGCACAAGGCTGGAATACCTTACCATACCATACCATACCATACTATGCCATACCATACCATACCAGTTTCCACCTTGCCGTACAAGGCTGGAATACCATACCATACCATACCATACCAGTTTCCACCTTGCCGTACAAGGCTGGAATACCATACCATACCAGTTTCCACCTTGCCGTACAAGGCTGGAATACCATACCATACCAGTTTCCACCTTGCCGTACAAGGCTGGAATACCATACCATACCAGTTTCCACCTTGCAGTACAAGGCTGGAATACCATACCATACCAGTTTCCACCTTGCAGTACAAGGCTGGAATACCATACCATACCAGTTTCCACCTTGCCGCACAAGGCCGGAATACCTTACCATACCATACCATACCATACCATACCATACCAGTTTCCACCTTGCCTCGGGATGATGACTTTAACATAGACTTACGATAGTTGTACCGCTAACATCACTTTGTGCAAGTGCGCCCTGGTCTCAGACCCACGGATACGGTTATGGTGCTGACAAAACTAGAACTGTAATCGGGGCGAACTAAGAATCGAGCCTGCCTTCATAAGTTTCTAGCACGTCTAAGTGTGTGTGTGTGTGTGTGTGTGTGTGTGTGTGTGCGTGCGTGCGTGCGTGCGTGCGTGCGTGCGTGCGTGCGTGCGTGCGTGCGTGCGTGCGTGCGTGTGTGTGTGTGTGTGTGTGAGTGTGATGGTCGCGTTATTGAAATTTGAACACAGAAAATACGTGATTTAATGCGACGTCTAGATTACATAACTTGCGTTATGTTGATGGTAGTGTTGTTACTGTTGTTGGGTGTGTTTTAAGGCTGTGATCGTTTGACACGTAATACAACATTTCGCCTTGTCATGAAGAATGGAACTGACGTCACTCAATAAACACTATCCTCCATAACACATTCGGCAACTGACGCATGTCTCCTTGTTATTTAACGCTGCACTCAGAAATATCCCAGCAACATGACGGCGGGTTTTATCAATGTGGTTAGGCTCTGTGAAGATCCGGGTTAGATTTGGTCTTCAGCAACCCATACTTGTCCCCGTGAAGATCCGGGTTAGATTTGGTCTTCAGCAACCCAAGCTTGTCCCCGTGAAGATACGGGTTAGATTTGGTCTTCAGCAACCCATACTTGTCCCCGTGAAGATCCGGGTTACATTTGGTCTTCAGCAACCCAAGCTTGTCTTTAGGGGCGACTATGCTTGACGTAAAAGACGACTAACGGGATCGGGTGGCCAAGCTCGCTGCGGTGGTTGATGCATGTCATCGAATCTCAGGATTGTCTGATCCAGCCGTGATTATTTACAGGCTGCTGTCAAATAGTTGGAATATTGTTCTGTGCAGCGTTAAACAACAAACAAACAAAAACCCAAAGGTGTTAATGTGAAAGACCTGCCACACTTTGGACATCAAGCTGACACTGTGATATAACTGGAACACTGTTCCGTGCGGCGTCACTCACTCACTCACTCACTCACTCACTCACTCACCTCATGTCATATCAATCAACTACACATATAAACTGACAAGACAATATGTATGTAGCATTTGGTTTATTTTATGAAACAAGGACGTCATAATCTCTTCTGACAGTGACGTAAGTAACAAACTAAAGTAACAACATAACGTCAATCATCAGCCAATACCGGTTTTCACAGGAAATGTACACATCTTGACAGTCTGCATATCTCCACTAGGAGATAAATAGCTCACATTAAGTCCATTTCTCAAAAAACAAACTTGGTGATATTGGATAAATATTATCTCCCCTCGTGTATTGAATACAAAATGTATACACGAACGAAGAACCTCTAAATGACGACATTTTGGATGACGTCATCGGATTGCGTCATCATGTGTCGTGTTATTCACGTCCTAACGACAGTATAATGTAACATGTGTATATATTAATATATATATATATATTATTTCATCAGTGGAGCAAGGACTGCACATCTGACACCAGATATGTTTCTCTTCGAAGTTAAGTTGACATAAATTGTTACAAGGAAGTACATAGGTGCTGTTTGCATTGGCATGAGTCACACGGGATGTAGTGCACGTGTTTCAATAGCCACACCTGTCAAGCACTCTCGAGAACGACAAAGGGTCAAAGTTCATCTCGTGTATCAGTGTCAGTTGGGCGTAACGGGTCTTCCTGTTTGGCTTCGCTGTACATATACGAGTTGTCATCTTCAATACCACACTTAATTGTCAATTAATGAGTGACTGGTTGGGTTTAACGCCGCTTTTAACAGTATTCCAGTTATATCACGGCGTGTCAGCTTAATGTGGGAGGAAAGCCGGGAGTGATGCAGGTCTCAGACGGTTACCACTTCGATGAAACCCACGAGCACGGGTATGGTTCGAACTCACAATCATAGGATTCTGGCGGGTCCAAGGGACGCAACTCTGCACAGCGCATCGCGGTGCTTTAGACGACTGGGCCACCCCGGCCCCCTAATTGTCATTTAAAGCAGTGTTGCGAACCCAAAATACTTCTCCGAGATTTATCTTTACTAATTTAAAAGTAACATATCGGTCTGGGTCTCAACAATATCAGTAAACGCGGTATCGTGTCACAAGATTGTCTGGTCCATCACTTGATTATCTGGGGGCGGTCGGGTATAATAGTGGTTAGAGCTTCGATTCCCGACATGGGCACAATGAGTGAAGCCCATTTCTGGTGTCCCCCGCGGTGATATTGCTGGAATACTGCTTAAAGCATACTTACCCACTCACTGGATTGTCTGGTCAAATCTCGATTGTGTACAGGCTGATTGTGTTGGTGGCGGGATTCATATCACTTTCACCGCTATTTTGCGGCAGATAATCGCGGCTGGTTATTGTTAGTGTTTGTTTGTTTGTTTGTTTGTTCGTTCGTTTGTTTGTTTGTTTGTTTAACCGCGCAATATTCCAGCTATATGACGGCCATCTGTAAATAATCGAGTCTGAACCAGACAATCCAGTGATGGATATCATGAGTATTGATCCACGCATTTGGCATACGATGACATGCATCAACCAAGTCAGCGAGCCTGACCACCCGATCCCGTTAGTCGCCTCTTACGACAAGCATAGTCGCCTTTTACAGCAAGCATGTGTTGCTGAAGACCTTTTCTACCCCGGATCTTAACGGGTGATCTGTGAGTTTGCATGGAGGGTTGTCTGGTTACAGTCCAAAGTATACATACAGTTGAGCAACTCTCATATCACAAACATAATATCAATTATATAACAGACATATACATACAGTTCAATAATATAATATTACACAGTGAGCTGTCCATATAAATAGTTATCTCCCTTTGGTATAGGTTGGGATTTCTCGGAAGGGTCCATATTTGACCATATTTGGTAGTCAAAATATTAAATGTTACTTTCAAGGACCAGCCCTGAATATGGATACGAGGTTGAAACACTCATAGGTTTCAAATGCACAAACAAAAGTGTCTAAGGATTTCCTTTTTTGTTCTTTTTCAATATTTTCAAAGCTTCTTTGTAAGTCGGAGGCGGGGCTTCGTCCAGGGAGGCCGCAGATGCTGACCGGAACAAAGCAAACACTGGCAAATGCATCCCTGGTATCCTTGGTGATCGGCCATTGTGTATCTCTACTTCCGGTTCATATGCGGGATTGTCATATACACTGACTTCCGGTGCTTGTTTGTGGCAAGGGCAGTCACACTGAGAGGGTTGAACTGGTTGAGTGCTGGAGGAATCGCCTGGCTCGAGGTCTGTGTTCGTTGTAGAGGCGCTACTTTCGGAAGAATTGCTTTCACTGAGAGAGTTCGATCTGGAAGATGACGGAGATCCCTCGGATAAAGACGTGGTTTCCATGGTTACCATGACATCCGCCTCGTGTTCAGATGAAGCAGAAAGAGAATCATTAGAGGTTTCAGTGTCAGGATTTGTCAAATGTCTGTCTCTAAAAATACCACATTGAGATGATTTGCACTTTCTACACAAGGAATAATGTCGGGATAACAAGAAAGGCCCTCCATTCAATCCAAATAGTTCTTGGTAGCTCGGCGGAGGTAGAAACACTTCTGGGTGAGCCGCCTCTTCGTCCGTAGCTGGGCGTCGCCGAGGACGAGTGGGGCGCCTGTTCCGGCGACGCCGTTTCTCGAATGTACATGACCAGCAAAGGCGGAACAGGAAGATGACGATCGGAATGGCTGCGAGGATGATGTAAATGCGCATGTCAAAGCGGGGGGCACTGCTTGTATCATTCCTTTCCTCTCCCTTATCCGGGGTCGTGTGTTCTTGCGCGTGGGCGCCCTTCCGTGCTGAAAGAGAGGAGAACATATACATTCTGAACACACCGTGCCAGTTAGAAAGTGGTCAAATGTAACAAATGGTATATTTGGGATAGTTCTTTTCTTAGTAAAGTATAGATTCTAGTACTTTTTGGGGGGGGTTGAGTTCCATCCGGAATGTCCACCCACACTTCCAGAGGGAGGCGCCTAATCGCCAGCATACAAAGTCAGAGATCTAACCCACTCAGCCACCGAGGCGTCCACAAAATGAAAGCCCGACAACTGTTAGTCTAGATCACGTACTTTGTGTACCCCTCTGACAAGTGTAAATTGGAACGGCTCCCATGGTCGAAAGTTATCAAAACACAATGTCATTTAGAAAGTGGTCAGATGTAACATATGTTACATAGTTTATAAAGTTACAAGTTATATAGATTTGTAAGTGGTTGTTGTTGCTATCTAAATAATCGAGACTGGACCAGACATTCCAGTGATTTGATATAATGACACTCATGCACACCGACAGGGTACGTTAACATGTTTTGTTTGTTTGTTTGTTTGTTATTTAACTCTGCACTCAGCAATATTCCAGCTATATGACGGCGGTCTATAAATAATCGAGTCTGGACCCGACAATCCAGTGATTGACATCATGAGCATCGATCCACGCATTTGGGATACGATCGTTAACATGTTGGTTGGTTTGTTTGTTGTTTAACCCCGCCCTCAGCAATATTCCAGCAATATGACGGCGGTCTGTAAATAATCGAGTCTGAACCAGACAATCCAGTGATTAATATCATGAGCATCGTTCCGCAATTTGGATCGATGACATGCACCAACCAAGTCAGCGAGCCTGACCACCCGATCCCGTTTGTCGCCTTTTACGACAAGCATAGTCGGCTTTTACGGCAGCCATGGGTTGCTGAAGACCTCTTCTACCCCTGATCTTCACGGGTCCGCTAACATGTAATCAACCAAGCCTGACCACCCTATGCAATAAGTCGCCTCTTACGACCAGCTTAGGTTGCTCGGGGCCAATTCTAACACGGACCTTTACGGGGCGAACACACAATAAATATTCCATTTAGAAACGTAGTGTTAACTCAACAAAATGCTACCTACGTTGGCAGAAGAATCGGACTCTATAGTTGTTGCATATTCCTGCAGCCTGGTCCTTATTCCGGCACGCTAGACCCGCAGTGGAGCAAGGCAATGCCAGATTATCTTCCCTTGGGGGGTCGTCGACGTCGTCGTTGTCGACAGCGCAGTCAGCTCTGGCGATGCTGTGAGTTGAAGGGCAGATGTTTCGGCTCAGAGCCTGAAAAACGTAAAATGTAAATGTAGTTAACATAGTTTTAGATAGATTTAATAAATATACACTGAATAATGCCCCGTTGCATCTACGGATACCAAGATGAGTTTTAAATATTCTTGGAAATATACAGTAAACTACGGTTATAACGAACTCAAAGGGACCACTAATTTTTGTTCGTTGTAGCCGTGGTTCGTTATATGCATATATACAGCATAACTACAGCAAATAGTCGGGACAAAAAAGTAAGTTCGTTATATCCGTCAGTTCGTTATAAGCGTGTTCGTTATAACCGGAGTTTACTGTATGCTTATATAAATGAGCAGGTCTAGCAGTTGTCTCTGAAACAAATATGCGAAAACATAAACAGTTACTATCTTAAATTGAAAACCCGGGTGAACATTTTGAATGTGTGTTTTATTATCATTGCGTCTCATGCATAAATGTTCATCGGTGTGTTGGAAACAGTTATCAGTCACAGCAGGAAGCCACACGCCAGAAGAGGTCTTCATCAATACACCTTGCCTTAAAAGGCGACTGTGCTTGTCATAAGAGGCGACTAACGGGATCGGGTGGTCAGGGTCGCTGACTTGGTTGATGCATGTCATCGTATGCCAAATGCGTGGATCAATACTCATGATATCCATCACTGGATTGTCTGGTTCAGACTCGCTAATTTACAGATCGCGGTCATATAGCTGGAATATTGCGCGGTTAAACAAACAAACAAACAAACAAACAAACAAACAATAACAATAACCAGCCGCGATTATCTGCCGCAAAATAGCGGTGAAAGTGATATGAATCCCGCCACCAACACAATCGGCCTGTACACAATCGAGATTTGACCAGACAATCCAGTGAGTGGGTGAGTATGCTTTAAGCAGTATTCCAGCAATATCACCGCGGGGGACACCAGAAATGGGCTTCACTCATTGTGCCCATGTCGGGAATCGAAGCTCTAACCACTATTATACCCGACCGCCCCCAGATAATCAAGTGATGGACCAGACAATCTTGTGACACGATACCGCGTTTACTGCCATCATATCACAATTGCGTGGATCGATGCTCGTGATATCAATCCTGGATTGTCTGGTCTAGACTCGATCATTTACAGACCGCCGTCATATAGCTGGAATATTGCTGAGTGAGGCGTTAAACAACAAACAATCAAGTAAACATCATATCACCAAGACAATGCCTACGGGTGACGACTCACGATATTCAGGCCTTAAGGGTCCCCAGGTTCTAAACACCTGAACATGTCACTCGACCAATGAAATTTGAGACCCGTGAAGATCCCGGGTAGAATAGGTCTTCAGCAACCAATGCCTGTAAGGGGTGACTAACGGGATCGGGTGGTCAGGCTCGCTGACTTGGTTGATGCATGTCATCGTATTCCAGTCGATGCTCATGGTGTCAGTCACTGAATTGTCTGGTTCAGATTTGATTGTTTACCGACTGCCGTCATATTGTTGGAATATTGCTGAGTGCGGCGTTAAACAACAAACAAACAAACAAACAAACAAACAAAACATCAATGTGGAGCCTTTTGGCAACTACATCAACCCTTACTAGGAAGCCAACAGACAAGCATTTTAACAAGGACCCACCCTCGTGATGGACTCAACCGTTTCGTAGTCGCCGTCGCCGCTCACTGGGTTGTCCACGTCGTACCACTCCGTCCAGTACTCGCGGTCGCTGCGCCTCAGTCGGGGGGCTACAACATACGCAAAATAATCACAATAATATAAATTAATAATAATAATAATAATAATAATAATGGCCCGGTCAGTGGATCAGTGTGCACTCGATTTTTCATTCTCAGCTCCCTGGGGAGTAAACAACCAAAGCTATCTCATCCTGCAGGGTACCCACTCACTGCTGGGTGAACGGGGATATTTCGAACTTGCCTCAGGAGACGCCTCATGTGCTACATGTGTTTCTGTTTGAGACAGAGCTGACACTCGCTAGATTTTAGACCTGTGCGATATTCACAGGACCACTTGCCACCAAGATAGTTTGAACCAACATTATCAGTCACAGGTGAAAAGCATAACCTGAAGCGCAATGAGTCATCAGCATTCACAATTGAGAATGAAAAATTAGGTCCAATGTTCACCAATGTTGGATTCTGCGGTTCTCAGTTTGACGCGTGTACCGGTCACGTGACAGCCCTGGTGGTTTACTGTGAGTGAGAGAGGGTCTCTTATCGCTGTGATGGGAAACGAAGGTATACTAGTAAAACCTATCGTATAAGGGACCGACCGCTTGATATTATTATATTATCAAAACGACCCAGAATATTTTGAAAAAATATGATTATTCTTCAGACAGTGAAAAGATTTGTCTGCCTTAAAAGTTACATTGTTATGACGAGATTCTCTTAAAAAATATTTCAAAGATTAATGGTTTGCAGCTGTAAATGAAAATAATATCGAATCTCAAGACATATATCCTAACCCTTTTCCCCTGGTTGGATTTGTCCGAAATATGTTTGAATTGTTACCTTGTTTGGTTTTGTCGCTGTGTGTACATCTGACTGCACTTCTTAACATTATGACAGGACAGACCGACTGTCAACAACGTCTGACCGTGGCCGTGACGTCTCATAGACAAGGGTTAGAGTAGCTTACCTTTGACAAAGGGCAGTTACTCTAGCAGACAGACCGATCGATTGCCGCGAAAGGCAATTAAAAACAATTGTTGTTTTGCGTATATGTTGCTTCGCCACTGTTTAAGAAAGAGATTTCAGTTGGAACTATATTGGCTACTGTCACTGTCCGACTGACACATCACTAACCCCGTGACGTAATAAATATTAATGCGCGCATTCCAGGAAAACTCGCAATGTTTCGGTAATGTTTTTGAGAGAGGGAAAGCGATTTTGAAGCACACAATTGAAGAATGACATTATATGATAAAGAGGTTATCACGCGAGTGTGTTTTGGGGGATGGTAAATATCCTGTATTAGGAATAAACACTAATAATGTTTATTCCTAATGCAGGATATTTACCATCCCAAAAAACACTCGCGTGATAACCTCTATGTATCTTTACACAGAGTATACCGAGAAAGATGAAAGTGGCCACGGAGTAACTGGTAGAGGGTTGAACTTCAAGGAGGCGATTCCCCATCCCCGACTATCCAGTGTATTAAATCTCCAGTCAATAATATGGATAATAGAGGACAACATTCGCCAGAGGAAAGCCTTTTTGCGCACATTCAAAGCAAAAGGTGCGGAAAGCGTTAGAATAAAGATACAACATGTATATTCAGTATTGTGAATAGACGAATATTTCACGACATAAGGGGGTACTAGATAGGACAACAGAAGATAAGCTCTGCTTCACATGTATTATAACCTCAAGTGGACACGCTCAGCTCTGAAACACGAATACCGGTTAAAACACATTGGAGAGCAAGATAGAGGGAAATATCAAGATAAACATAGAACGCCAGTCGCCTCCTATTCTATCAGGGATCATCACGGGTCTCGTGGCATTTAAGAAAGAGCCCATTAAAACATTTTACAAACTCAGACAAAACTTTAAGTGCTTCACGGAGTTCAAGACGATGGTAGGAAGGGATCCGTATAAAAAGACATGTATCCTCGAGTCGAGAACCGACGGTAACGTAAAAGAGTTATTTCCCCTAGATCCTCCCGGATGCGCAGGTTCCAGAAAATAATCCTTTGCCATGGAAGGCCTGGGGACTTATTTCCTCTGCTAATGTTTGACTGTTTGGTATGTTCCTTATGGCGGAGTCACGGGTGTCCCTTGCAGCAGCTTGTGCTCGGCTTAAGAGCCGACATGGCGTATTGTCATACGTTGTAAGACCCGTGAAGATCCGGGGTAGAATAGGTCTTCAGCAATCCATGCTTGTCGCCCCCCGTTAAGATCCGGGGTAGAATAGATCTTCAGCAATCCATGCTTGTCGCCCCCCGTTAAGATCCGGGGTAGAATAGATCTTCAGCAATCCATGCTTGTCGCCCCCCGTTAAGATCCGGGGTAGAATATCTCTTCAGCAACCCATGCATCGCTGTAAGAGGCGACTTACGGGATCGGGTTGTCAGGCGCATGTCATCGCATCCCAATTGCGTGGATGTTGCTCATGATGTCAATCACTGGATTGTCTGGTCCAGACTCGATTATTTAAAGATAGCGGGAATATTGCTGAGTGCGGCGTTAAACAAACAAACATACGTTGTGAATAACTCAAACAAGAGTAAAAGAACAACCACAAATGTGTGTGTGTTCCAATACTCACCAGCCATAACAGATTAACTATAGTCATATTAAAAAATCGGGAATTCATTTACTTCTTTTGAGTAATATACACTGTTATCCCGGGCGTGCATTGTGCATGTCATACTGCACGTGCCTCCCATGCTCCGTTATATAAGTAACATAGAGACCTATATCCGAACATAAACAAACATCTTCGAGCCGTGCCATTTGCATGAAGTTGCGTAAACACGTTATTTTCATACACTTGAATACATACCTGTTTACAGTATACTACATGTTGTGCATCTAGTGACATGTTTTGTTTACCTTGTGACACGTTTTGTTTACCTTGTGACATGCTATGTTGATAAAGATCGGAGATAAGACGGCGTTGTCAACGAGCCGCCCGGGCCGGCTGATATGCAGGGAATATTAGCCGAGTTTGTATCGATACCGTGAATATTATAAATTAGGAATATACATTGATACATATTTTTTATTCCTAACATATGATATTTACGATACGTAAACACCCGATGGTAACAATATCTTTATCAAGTTATCAAGTATTAATATTCGGGAGAGGTATTACTATTCATCCTACATGTATGTGATGAAATCAAATATGTTTGGACCATGTTTTGGCGAGACCTTGTGAGGCCCCTTAACATATTGAAAAACGTCTTTAAACAGTTTATATTTTAGAAAGAAGGCATTATAACATGTGGATACATTGTATATGACATGTCAGTGTACAGTGAACCAGGATATACTGTTTATAACATGACAGTGTACAGTGAACCAGGATATACTGTATATAACATGTCAGTGTACAGTGAACCAGGATATACTGTATATAACATGTCAGTGTACAATGAACCAGGATATACTGTATATAACATGTCAGTGTACAGTGAACCAGGATATACTGTATATAACATGTCAGTGTACAGTGAACCAGGATATACTGTATATAACATGTCAGTGTACAGTGAACCAGGATATACTGTATATAACATGTCAGTGTACAGTGAACCAGGATATACTGCATATAACATGTCAGTGTACAGTGGCACTGAACCAGGATATACTGTATATAACATGTCAGTGTACAGTGGCACTGAACCAGGATATACTGTATATAACATGTCAGTGTACAGTGGCACTGAACCAGGATATACTGTATATAACATGTCAGTGTACAGTGGCAATGAACCAGGATATACTGTATTAAACATGTCACTGTACAGTGGCACTGAACCAGGATATACTGTATTTAACATGTCAGTGTACAGTGGCAATGAACCAGGATATACTGTATATAACATTTCAGTGTACAGTGGCACTTAACCAGGATATACTGTATATAACATGTCAGTGTACAGTGGCACTGAACCAGGATATACTGTATATAACATGTCAGTGTACAGTGGCACTGAACCAGGATATACTGTATATAACATGTCAGTGTACAGTGGCACTGAACCAGGATATACTGTATTTAACATGTCAGTGTACAGTGGCAATGAACCAGGATATACTGTATATAACATGTCAGTGTACAGTGGCACTGAACCAGGATATACTGTATATAACATGTCAGTGTACAGTGGCACTGAACCAGGATATACTGTATATAACATGTCAGTGTACAGTGGCACTGAACCAGGATATACTGTATATAACATGTCAGTGTACAGTGGCACTGAACCAGGATATACTGTATATAACATGACACTGTACAGTGACACTGAACCAGGATATACTGTATATAACATGTCAGTGTACAGTGGCACTGAACCAGGATATACTGTATATAACATGTCAGTGTACAGTGGCACTGAACCAGGATATACTGTATTTAACATGTCAGTGTACAGTGGCACTGAACCAGGATATACTGTATTAAACATGTCACTGTACAGTGGCACTGAACCAGGATATACTGTATTTAACATGTCAGTGTACAGTGGCACTGAACCAGGATATACTCCTTAAAAACAATGTATAGTGTCAACACTAGCGCGAAGTCACCGATGTGTTTAACATAGACGTATGCTCGTGTTTTGTGGACTAATTCTTCACATTCGTGTGCAGCAGTCCCGCGCGTTGTATGAAGTGCCATTCTGACACTGTACTTAGACACTGTACTTGGACACTGTACTTAGACACTGTACTTAGACACTGTATGGCTGAAGACACACTGGGTAGACACCGATATAATTGTTATTTAATGTTGACGAAAACGGTCAAGAGATATCCTGACTTGTCAACACTTGTCAAGGCTGGCGGTTTTTGGTTTTGGAGCGGTGTGGATATCTCAGGGGCACCATAAATGTTTATCGATATATTTAAGAATATAAATCCTGTCAAGATTGACGTTCAATGGCTATTCTCTGAGGTTTAATGCGTCGTTAAAATCTTTATAAGATTGTAAATGTTACTTGGCACATGCCTTACACACTATTAAAAGCCTCTTGTTAAATCGC